TTTTTTTTTTTTTGCTGATAATGCTGTGGGAGGAGGAGGCGGATCGGCATTCTGAGGGAAAAATAAAATGATAGTAGTAATAAGGATAAATAAAGAGGTAATATTGGTGTGGGAGAGAGTAATTGTGTGTTGCCTCTGTTTGTAAAGAGTGTCATGGTATTACAGTGATGTATGCAGTCATTTTTGTTATGGTTGTGGGTGAGTGGGTTTTGGATTCCAATTGTGGTGTTGGTATGGATATTATGGTGTTGCATTGGTTTCTTTTCTTTTTCTGTTTGGAAGTGTGTTGATTATTATTGTACAGTCTCTTTGTTTTGCTGATGATTTGTGTTATTGTTTTTGTATGTTGCCAGGCATACACTGTATTTTGGTGTTCGAACTGCCTGGCAATGGTTTTATTATAATGAGAATACAGACACACTGTGTTTGTGTATGAATACCGAGTAAGATATTGGAGTGTGTGTAGAGACGTTTATTTAATATTGTTTTGATACCATTTGTTTTCCACTTCTTCTGAATTCAAGATGTTGTTTCAATATCTGTGTAACTATGGGTGTGTTTTATTGTGTGAGTGGTTTACTGTTGCACCCCTCATTGGGTTGTTGTTTGATTGCTGTTGTGATGTGTACTCTCTTTCACTCTCTCTCTGTGTTGTGTACCCTCTACCTTGTGCATTAAATGTGTGTTAAATGTGCGTCTCTCCTTTCTCCGTTTCCTCTTCTTCCTTGTTACCACAGATCCAAGCAACCCACAGTGACAATCATGACAACGATGTCCATCCAACTGCGACGTGTGGTGTACCTGTTGGTACTTCTGCAGTGCTGTGCGTGTTTGGCCCAAGAAGGAGCAAATGGTGTGTGGGGAGAAGCGTTGGATGAACACCAGGACGTTTTGGTGGCGGAAAAAAAGGCAAAAGCATGGATGAAGAAGGTGAGTGAATATCTTGCGGAGGGGAGAAGTTATTCATCAGTGTTGGAGGGGGTTGTGAATTTATCAAACGAAAGTTCCAAACTTGCGAACTCGACCGCGTTGGATTTCAAAAAACTTGTGGAGGAAGTTGAAAAGAAAGCAATGGAGAAAGTTGAACCAAAATACAAACTCGAGGACGATGAGAAAAGGACACTCGAAGGATTGGTGCAGAAGGTTAACAAGTCAGTTGACGATACGGGATCATTGGTGAACGATACAAAGTGGGCAAATTATGCGTGTTCTCTTTCACGTGATACCTTGGTAAACGTGTTAAATGGGTTCGACGGAAGTAGAGTCTATTATTTAAGTAAACTTGCTGAACCGAATAAAACGTACTGGACACTGGATAACGTGAAACTTGCGAGAATCAGCAATAAAACGTACCACGATGTATATGCACTAAAGGAAAAATATGGTGTTTTGGCTGATTTGAGTACTCGATCCGTTATAGAGGCCATGGAACGAATGGAAGGGGTGCAGAAAACGATGGATGAGATTAAAAAGAAACTCGAAAATATTAAGGAAAAGGTGGTGGAAGGGGAGCTCGACGGGATTGTGAAGTTGGTCGATGAGGTCGTGAATTCATGCACGCCTTTTGTTGGGGTAGATAAGGCGTGGGTTGAGAAAAGAAAGTTACCGGCGAAAACGAACGTTGATGCGAAAATGAAGGCAAAAAAAAAAGAGATAGAAAAGCAGATACCAGGGGAGATAGAGGCCGAAGAAAAAAGGATGGTTCAAGAAGAACAGGCGAAAAGGGATGAGGCAGCGAGACTGGAAAAAGAAAGACTAGCGAAACTGGAAGAAGACAAGAGACTGGCTAAGGAGAAGGAGAGATTGGCTCAAGAAGAACTGGAGAGAAAGAAAAAAGCTGAAGAAGATGCGGAAAAGAGAAGGACAGCAGAAGAGGCGGGGAAGAGAAAAGCTGATGAAAAGAGAGCCCAAGAAGAAAAAGCCAAACAAGATCAGGAGAGGAGGGATGCAGAAGAAAAAGCTAGAGTTGCATTGGAGAAGAAAGAAAAAGAACAGCTGGAACGGGCAGCGGAAGAGGCGAGAAAAAAAGCAGAAGCGACTAAGAAGAATGACAACAGTCACAGTCCTTCATTGGTGCACAGTCCCTTTTTGTTGCTTCTGTTGTGTGTGCTGGGTAGCACTCTCGTGTG